TAAGGAGTTTACTAACCAGGTAACTCCCAAGGATCATAGAGATATATGTTGAGAAAACCAATGGTATTAGAATCGATTTTATCATCATTGATAATTCTTTTGAGGTAAAAATTGATAAGTTCTTCTTCAGTGGGATGAAAACGGAACCCAGGAAGTTCAAGCTCTGTTAATGACATTTTTTTATTTTTTGTTTCTTAGAGGATGTATTTTGTGACTACATAAATTAAGAAGCCTCTTATATAGGCAAGAAACTTTGTCCTGTTTTGCGCCCATCACGCAATTGAGAATGACACCCTATACTTAGGAGGTGTAAGTTAACGTCTAACGCCTAATCATTCTGAATAACGCTTATTTCTTAGATATCATCATTATTTCTATTTGTAAAAAAAATAATTGATAATTCATGGACATCACGCGGCATTTGAAGGATGACATGCTTATCTTTCAAATCATGAATATGCCTCTGTATCTTAGTCCCAGTGTAACTCATCATCCTCCCAAAACCAACTTCCTTATCATGATCATTGCAGGAATGTTAATTCATCCATATATGAAATTGATATTTATATATATCAATGTAAAATATTGTGGATTGATCGATACTTCCATGGGACCTTTTATGTCTATACGTTGCAATACTCGTTCATACATTTTTTTTGTATATTAATAATACTTTTATCAATGATAATAAACATATTATATCTATATATATTAGAGTCCATCATCAACTAGAATTCGATTATTGTAGCTTATTCATTGTAACAAAAGGATTACTCTTCCATTAGAATACGTAGTAGATAAGGATTCTTATATTAATCATAAACATGTACAAAGTCTATAAATATAAAGCACAAACAGCAGAACAATCAATCTGCTTTTATTTTCTCAAACTCCTCTTGTTCTTAATCTTATTAATATATAATATATTGTAGATTGACACTGCTTAAATATAATAGAAAATAAATGTAATGATTTGAGATAAGAGGCAATATCTTAAAATTACTGCAATTTCATATTTAAACACACTTACTGAAATATAAAAGTAATACTCCTTTTGTTTTAATTTATTTGATATTTTTTATTTATCAAGAGTTAATTTAAGTAATATTCATTATTAAAGTGGATTAGGTCAATTCAATTTAAAATTTAAATTCAAATATTCAGAAGTTATACGAAAAATACTTGATAGTATTTATCTTATCAATGCGATAAAAATATATATTAAAAAGAAATAAAAATATATAATAAATATTGAGTGCGATGGAAAATGACATTATTTGTGTAAAATTCTGCGCACACCGCGGAGAATGACATTGAGAGCGAGTGGCACTAGGGAGGAATGAGCTAAAATTCCTTTCATAGGTATGGGTGGATCCTAGCTAGTGACATAGACATGTTGGGCTCTAAATAAACAATAATATACTCCCACAAAGTGAATTTGAAAAGATAGAGTGTACGCATACTTACTTCTAATTCAGAGATAGAGAAAATGTTTGAGATAATTTCTCAGATGGTCACTCATCTTAGAATAGCTCACTTAGAAACTCACTCAATTTAGAGTAGTTCAATTAGAAAGTCACTCGACTTTGTTTTATAACTCAAAATCACTCAATTATTGATATTTCACTTAGAAATCACTAAACTGTTGATGTTTCACTTAGAAAGTCACTCAACCAATTTAAATAAATTTTTCATTAAATTTTGTTGAAATCTAATTTTTATTTTAAATTATTTTTCAAAAAAAAATAAGATATTCAAATTGAACTATCCTAAGTTCAGTAACTTTTTAAGTGCACCATTCAAAGTTAAGTGACGATCGGAGACATTGTCTCGAAGTTGTTTTCATAGACCCTCGACTCAAGAAAAAAACAGTTCGAACAATTTTTTTTAGAAAAGTAATGAAAGTGAAAGCATAAGAATCTATTGATTTATAGGATATTTCTTTCTTTATAATATTATTGACCCCTTCCTAGTTTGGGTCATTTGAATTGTTCAATTACTATACATAGTCTCATAAAAATAAAAACCAGTAATGGAAAAAGTGGTGTATACTTAACTATTTAAGAACAAACATTTCCATCCATAGATAAAGAATAAAAATGAAAGAAAATAAACGAGTTTTAATTGTGGTTTAGTTTGTTTAAGTGAAATTATATATGATCTTGACTTGAGGTCAACCAGGAAGACTAAAAAGAAATTAATTGGAAAAAGTTGTGATTTTGTTTAAACTTTCCAATTTGTTTTATATGCTAGGACACATGTCATGTCAATTATTTGTCCTAACAAAGACAATTGTGTTACTGTCTCTGGTCATGGAAAAAAAAGGGTACCATGTTTCTAAGTAGCTCCAGAAATCTATTTCAATTCATGCCCAACTGTTTGTCTTCTTGAGATACATTTTATATCAATTTTAATTAAAATATTTTAAACTATCTTATCAATGTTTTAAAAGGCAGGGGAGTTTTACTTAGTATAGGATGAGGCGTATGCCTCGAGACGTGAGGCGTAAGCCCTATGAATTTTTAAAAATTTAGTTTATAATATAATAACACAAAATTATAAAAATATATTAGTAGTTTGAAATAATTACAAATATTATTAAGGAAACTAATAGAAAATAAAATTTCTAATATGATTATACAAGTATAAATAATCTAATATCTTAACTTCCTAATAATAAAAGAATCACTATTTCTAAAAATACTTTTTTTTTATCATACTATACAATTTACCCCCTAAAAGAAAATAATCAATATTATTATAATAAAAACATCACTCCATCATGAATAAATATAAAATTACTTTCAAATATCTAAATAAAATATGATAATTTTGAGACATATGACAAAACCATGAAGACCAATGATAAGTGAAAAAGTAAAATTTTGTTGGATATTTTCAAAAGAAATGTTACGTACTAAATAATCACCTTCAATGTGCTACTAACTAGTAAAGATGTGACACTACAACTTGTTATTTGAGTTACTCACAATCTTCTTATCTCTATAGATTAAAAAATTATTAAAGTATCATTCACTTATTAAAGAATTATGAGGGTCAACAATATTAATTAAAGATTTTAACACATAATTTGTGTAAGATTTATTAGGCAAGCCCTGAGCATTGGGCGTTGGGCGAGCTTAGGGGGTACAGTCGGGCGTAACTTTTATATAGTATATTTAAAACTATAAATTAAAAGATATTTTGATAAATTCAACAAATCTTTTATTTAAAATCACAAAATTCTAAAGACTTTTTTATTTCTTTTAAACTAATTGTTAAATCAAAATCAAACAAACAAACTAAAACAATTGATACATGCCAATCATTTGCATTAGCCAAAATTGTCCTTGCTCACACTTAGAAGAATATTTTTGCCCGCTTTGACAGTTAGTTTTATTTCATGATTCCTGCTACTTAATTCGTGTCAACACTCTAGCATCCTTGGTCATTGTTGTGCACTAACATACACTTAATCGTCAATCCCCATGCCGAGTCCAATGCACAAGTCCTAATTTCACAGATCATATCCAGAAAAGAAAAATTAATTGCAAACATGAATAAAAGGATCACATCTGAAATATAAATTATAACAAGTTCATGAATAATCTACCATTACACACATATGAACTACAAGTATATATTAATAAGAAGCACGTACATTGAAAGTTACATACATTATATATATGGTTATAGGCTACACAAGGTGATTCAAAACATATACATTACCTCGTCAAAATTTGATTTAATTGTAACCCGTAGCAAACTGTTGCCATTTGCCTCTCTCCCTGAAATTTTAGCTCACCACTCTCCTTTAATTTTCTCGCTGGTAGTCTCTCCCTCTCCTCTCTCACTTTTATACAAACACAAATGTATAAAATGTGTTTGTATAAAGTGAGAGAAAATTGTATAAATACATATCTTTTCGTTCGCCTCTCTCACTTTACACAAACACAAATGTATAAATTGTGTTTGTGTTTGTGTTTGTATAAAGCGAGAGAAAATTGTATATACAAATACAAATACATATACATATATTTTCGTCCTGTACACTTATAATTATACAAATACAGATCTTCCCCTGCCCAGTTTTCTTTTGTCTTTCTCTCTTTCTCGCTTTACACAAACACATATTATATAATTGATTTCTTTTGTATATGTATACCGAAACAATTATACAATTGATTCTTTTGTATATGTATACCGAAATATACATATTAATAGCCAGCAAATTTTAGGTTTAACAAACATAGAAAATCATATTTATATGTTATAGCTATAGTTTGCATAATTGCGCTCCATAACAAATTTAATGTTTGTTATGGCTATTAATTTGTATATTCGGTAGACTTATACATAAAAATCAATTGTATACGAATATATTTGGAATCTGTATACAAATAAGAATCTGACTTGATTGTAAGTTATATAAGTATATGTTTTTTTGTTGTGATTTTCAGTCGTGTGTATATATATATATATAAATATAAATTTGTATATGTATATGTAACTGTATTTTTGTATACAACTGTAAGTTGTAGCTTTATACAAACACAAATTATACATTGTAATTTGTATAAAGTGATAAAGAGAGAAAGACAAAAGAGAACTGGTAGGGGAAGATCTGTATTTGTATAATTATAAGTGTACAAGACGAAATTATATGTATTTGTATTTGTATATACAGTTTTCTCTCTCTTTATTCAAACACAAACACAGTTTATACATTTGTGTTTGTATAAAGTGAGAGAGGCGAGGGAGAGTGGCGAGCGAGATTTCTGGGGAGAGAGGCGAATGCCACAGTATTTACTATGAATTAGAATTAAATGAAACTGTGGTTATAACATTTAATTTGAATTAATAGTTCCAATAATATCAATAGATGGATAAATTCGGACACTTTTTTAATTGATTGGGCTTAAAATAGGTTGAGAACCATCTGAGGCCCAATAATGCAAGGGCCCATCTCAAACGGCCTAAAGGGTATTTACCTCTTACTCCATTCCCCATTCAAACCATTTCTGTACGGGCAGAAGAAATGTCTAGAAGGTTCGGAAAGAGAAAGGAAGAGAATGAATACGCTTCTGAAGGCGACAATCCTCCTAAGAAAGCTTCCAGAACCGATGATTCTGACGATGAAGATGGCATCGTCGTTTGTGAGGTACCTTTTTAGTTTCACACAAGCATTTTTGTATCACTTTTCTACTCTTCTCTGATTTTTGTGGTGTGGCTTTGTTTCAGATTTCTAAGAATCGAAGAGTAACAGTTAGGAGCTTTGGAGGAAGGATAATGGTGGATATTCGAGAGTTTTATGTGAAAGATGGCAAGCAAATGCCCGGCAGAAAAGGTAGTTATTTATTTTCATTTTGTTGTCAATCCTTTGGTTTTGGTATCTGTGTTTTTAGTAGTTTTCGTTTTCGTTGTTTCATTCCGTTTGTGTTTGCGATTTGGGCGAGGCTAGTTACATAGATGATTTTATCTATGTTGCATTTAGGGTTTTTATTACTCTAGACTCTAGAGTGAAGAGTAAATTATAATTCTTGGTTGGCCGTGACAAGTAAGAAGGGGCTTTTCAGTTGTTAACTGAGACACGGGAGTCGTAAAAGTTTCTTAGGTTTCTCAGTATCTTTTTTTATTTTCTCTCTGGTCTCCTCATGTTTCGTTTTAGGAATTGTGTATACAGAAGAGAACAAAGAAACCTCTCTTTTATTTACTCTCTCCTTCACCAATTCTTCCATTAGCTCGAATAGTTTCTGAGTTATTGTATTTGTGCCACTCCAAACTTATAGCCACGAGTGTAAGCGTTTAAAGAGTTGTGGAACCTTGCGGAGTGACTGGCCTTAACGATTTTCTCCGGAATCGAGCCGAAATCGCTTTCAAGGTAGTGGTTTTCGGTGACACAATGTTTGTGATGGTTCACTTACTATTTTGAATTCCTGTCTGGTATCAATATTATAGTATTTTCCCTAACACATCTTAGATATGCAAGCAGTTTCAACATCCTTGAAACAAAGCAGATATAGGTCACAAATTGCTTGGTGTACTTATTCATGGGAAACAGTATTTATGTTTGCACAAGGCTACCTATATACAATTAAATCCTAATATCCATAGACGGCAAATTGTTTTTTACCTTTGGAGAAGAAAGAATATTGAGACTAAGAGACTGCAATAAAATTTGGAGACTTGAGGACAAAGAATATTAAGACTAAGAGACTGCTATAAAATTTGGAGACTTGAGGATAAATTTTGGTTATCTTGTTGATGGAACAGGTTCAGTATTAATATGATGTTTACTTGGAGGATATGTTTTTTTTTTTTTTTTTTTTTTTTTGCATTTGCAATTTCAGTCGGTTCTAAGAATTGTCAATTAGCAACACTTGAGGTGTGGCCTGTTGGTCAATAAAGTGGGAGGGGTACCCAGTACCTGTCCTTGTGGGAAGTAGTAATAGATACTCGGTGGAGTAGTTGAGGTGCCTACGAGCTAGCTCAGATACCAATCCCATTAAAAAGAACTAGGCAATTCTCATTGTTCCTATATGAAATTGGTTGATGGAAGGAACATCTTCTATATACACGAGCCAATTCGGAATTATACCCTCCTGGGAGGTTTCATCATTAGCTTAAGTAATGACATATGAACTGTAGGTAATCCGCAGAAAGGAAAATTGCTCACTAACAATCTTGTTGTTTCTAGTTGCCGAGGACTGATGCTTTGTTCACATGTCATATAGTTTGTGTTGTATGAACTGGCATGGTTATTATTGTAATCAGACAGATTAACTCAAATCATATCATACTGGGTTGACATTGTCAATTCTAGGGAAATGAAGAATCTACAGCAATATCATATTGCTCCAGAGATATTTTGAAGTTTACTCCGTTGTGTAGAAATCAATGTATGCATTGAATGTGGCTTTTTTGGTCAGAAGAAGAGGTTGTGCCAATGCTAGTTCTTGGTTAAACAATAGGGAGCTCTTTTCCACTGGCTAGGAAACTGTTAACATTTTTCTCTATGCCTTGGTGACTCTGTCCTTCCAAACGTTAGCTTTCTTCCCCAGAGCTTTTTCCTTTTCCTATAAGGTCTACATCCACATCTTGTACAATGTACAATAAATTATAACCTGTGATACTGGAGGATGTGGACTTATTTTCACAAGGTTAGTGGTTGTTTCTTCAATTCGAAAAGGGGGGAGTTATTACCTTTGTGCTGTTTAGTCACATTAACTAATGTTTACTGCAGTACTGAGCTTCTCAAGCTGACATACTTTGAGATGCATTAGTAGTGATTGATATGCAAGACCAGCATAAGTCACTCTTGAAGATAGATACTGCACGCTGTCTCTCTAGCATTGCTCCTTCCTTTGATGTTAGAAATGAGCATTGTTAATTAAGCTGAATTGGGTCATAGGGGACCTTGTAGAAAGAGAGAACGAGCTGGTTTATCCAATGCTAGATTGAACCAGGTTATAGCTGAATTCAGATGTTATGCTTATTTTTGTGGCCTCTTTTGCTGATCTGTTTAGATTCCTCAGCATGTCCTGGAATTTGCTCTTGTACTCTTATGTATGTACCGTTGCATCTCCTCGGTTCTTCATACTTGAAATAAAACATCAAACAACTCCTGCACCAATTGTTAACTGCTTTAATTATATCTTCTATTCTCAACACAAGTTTATTTATATTTTTATTCATCTTATATCTTTTCTTCAAATCTTTTAGTTCAAACCATTTTTCTCCTGAAAAGACCTTTCTTGAGCCAAGGATCTATTGGACCCCGCAAAAGTAGGGGTAGGGTCTGTGTATGCCCACCACCCTCCCTAGAACCCACGTATAGGAATAGTTTATACTGGGTATGTTGTTGTATTTATCGTCCATGTATTTGCAGGAGTTGGAAACTGAAACTAACTGTAGCGTTTTCCTTTTCCAGGCATCTCATTGAGCATGGATCAGTGGAATGTACTGAGAGAGCATGCAGATGAAATTGACGAGGCTGTTGCTGAGAACAGCTAAATGTTGGATGTGGCTATCATGTAGTTGGGTGTATAATGGAATCGAAACTAGTAGATGTTTTTCCTTGGTACTGTTGTAGATTAGATTATGGATAAAGCAAACATGTTGTAGTACAGTTTGGTGTCCTATATCCATGTACTCTTTTCTCGACTTACGTTCTTCTATATGCATGTGGGCGGCGGTGTAACTTATCTTACCCCTCTGATAGATATGGAATATTCAACTTGAATTCCTTCCTCAACTTATTGTCATTGCTCTCGGAAGATTATTCATCATGCAAATAATCCCTCGAAAGGTAGTAAGTAACGCAAGAGACAAATTTCTGGTCATTTCGTTTTGGATTTCTCGACACTTGTGCCAAAACTAGCAACTTGTTTTGCAAAGGAAAATGTTCAAGACGTTCAGTCAGCTTTAAGGTGAAGGTTCCAACATTGAAAGTGAGACCAACAATTATTTAATTTACATTAAGAAAGAAAGTGAATGGGTGTTTTGCTAAAATACTTGAAGAGGCATTTCTGTTGAAATGTATTCCACTTCATGAGGCAGTACAAGTACATATATAGGAATTTATAAATTACAATAATGTTGGTACCCTTTAGTAGTAGAGTACATATTTCTAGATTCTTTTAGCTAGGCAAAGAACATTTTTTGCCCTTATAGTTTAGAGCTAGAATTATTAAAGTATTTCTCCCATACTATTTCATGAATAATATTTTTGTCATGGCAAATGTCTGATGGATTATGTCAAGATCTCCCAACACATTAGGCATTGCTTCTTAAATCTGACTCTTTAATCAAATCAAGAAACATATGCCTTCTCTTAAGGAGAGTGATGCTCAAAATAACTATGTTATAAGAAGTCTAATAGGAATATTTATTTTATATACTTCTTAAGATTTTTCATTTATCAGAAGAGGTTTCCATAAGTAATCGAACTAATTGATAGTAAGTTCATGTTTGAGATTGGTAATTTTAACATCAAGAACTCCATATAAAATGAGTTCCACACAAACATTTTATGTTTTGTTCATCAATCTTCATTTCAAATAAAGGGTAACATCTCCATTCTTGTTCGCAATAAATGAGCTAAAAAAGTAAGGCAGGTGGGGCGAGGCGATGATAGGGAAGGAGAATGGTTTCATCCGCCCTGTTCCATTGCCATCCCGTTAGGCTTAAAAAAAAAAGTGAGAGAAAGAGGGAGATTTTTTTTAATCATGAGGGAGGCTGTTGTCTGCTTGATGAACAAATTGAAAAAAGGTTCTTTTAATACAAAACCATATGCTGGAATGTGATGCATAGTTAAATAGAATGAGGATTGGTGCATGCATACCTGTTATTCCTTGACATGAGAGCACATTTGCAACATAGTTATAGGAAAGTAAGGGTAATATCATTAGAAGTGTTGTCCTGACCTACTGTAGGTGTATGTATGCCTCTGACAAGGTACGTAGGAAGATGAGTTAGTTAAAATTATGCCTTTTGAGAGAAGAATCATTATTGATACACCACACCAGCCCCAAGGTTAGTCGATTTCGTTCTCTTCCAAGTAAAGATATCGGCAACCAGTGAGTCATCCTTGAGAAAGTGGTGAGATAGATACATCTATATGCTTTGTTCGTTGCCATATTCATAGCACATGTGTTGACTTGATAGGTATGTATACATACATACAACCTACTTTAATTCCAAAATCTTCAACCTGTTGTTTTATCCATAGGAGTTGAGCACAATAGGAGGCAGTACTATTCAACTTCAACACTAGACACTTTGTAGCCCAAAAAGTGACGTGCTTTTTCTATCCGGCCTAGTCTGCATCACTGAATCCTATTGGATACCATAGTACTAGGTTCACATGAGATTTCTTTGGACAAGATTGCAAATGTGCACATAAACCAACGCTGAACACAATGTTAGGCCTGCTGCCAATTTGAACAGCCATGCATCCATGTCTAAATTTTTACATTCCTCAGCATTTTGGCATGAGAAGATATCTTGAATTTCCTTGAAAGAAATGTGAAATATTGTACCTATGATTACCATTCAATGATGTTGATACCAATACCACAAACAAATACTTGACCAAGATTTTCCATACTAGTACAATCGATGGAAAATTTTGATGTCTATTGCACAAGTGATCATTAGCAACACCGACAAGATAAAACATCGGAGTATGTATAGGGTCTCAACTTCTCTTCAAGTTCTAGTGCTGTTGGCAGTGGTTCCATCCTGTACTTGCTGCTCCGGGCACAGCAGAACTCGTACGAATTTCTGCATGCTCCTTTACTAAACGGAAAAACTCCTTCAGGAATGTTCCTGCAAATCAGCAAAAGTGTCAGCTCACGCTTTAATACAAGAAAATCCTGATGTTAAGCCAATATATGCTGCTATCATATTATGAAAGCACCACCTCAAAGCAATCATGAGATACATACATGCTACATTACAACAATATAACATGATACTACAAATATGGAGAAACGACCAACCAACCTCATATAGGGGATGCGCCGTTTTCTAAGAACCTCAAAAGTGATCTGATTTGTCAAAATAAGATAGCTGTCCAAGAAACATGTAAAATCTCAGTTATTATTCCTGAAGTGGCATTTTAGAAATGTATTGAAGAGCAAACTTCACATGTCCGGTGAATGATATTGAGAAGAGCAAAGGACACTCCTTTTCAATTTTCACAGTGGCTGTTGAAATTTTATGTTCCTACAGTGCAAGATTGACTAAAAGTTAATTGAAAAGACTAATGAAGAACTTCTGATGTTTTCTCATCTTGCTGGACCAGCAACTTAGTCCACCGCTAACCAAGCTAGAATGGATAGAGCAGCCTCTTCACTCGTGAATCCAGCCAACATGTCAAAGATTAGCCCAAAGTTTGTCCTAGCTTAGTTAGAATGTGTTGTGACCTATCTCACAAGATCAAATTGATGTGATATTGAGTCTATTTCTCTCATCTTTACACGACAGATTTATTACATTGTAACAATCATTACATCCCTTGTCCATGGATTCCTAATCACCCACAGAAATAGATGGTTTCTAGAACCCACATAACCCAGGCAACAAATTCAGGAACCAACACATGACATTTAAGAACTTAAACTTTTAACAGATTTCAAGGAAAACCTAAACTACCAAATGCCACTAAGTAACAAGAGTTAACAAACCAGAGATGAGAAATCTTACCTGTGGAATATGAAGAGGAGAATAAGAAAGAAGAGGCAAATAGACAAAACAGCTAACAGCAAGAAAACAATTGCATATGACCACCTGCAACAAAGCCAAAGTCACATTTGACATCTTTAGTTTTTCTGGATTGCAGGACTGTCAAGAGAAGCCTGAGCTTTTATGTAATTGCATCACACACACACACACACACACACATATATATACACAGAAGTTAAACCAATCATCATGTCAGCACTGCCTTGTCACATCAGCTTAAGTGTTGTCCTTATGATGTAGCCTCTTCTTTTACTACAGTCACCACAGTTAATTGCTTAAAAATTGGTTCTAGCAACCTTACGCAATCAAAGTAATTCCATATTCATCTTAGACTCAAGGAACCTAAATAAGAACCAGTACTCGTAGATTAATTCAGTCTAGCTATATTATCATTCTTTTTCCAATCTCCCAACTTAGAGTAAACAAATGCAGTGCACATACGCAAAACAAATTTTATCTCGAGAAAAGACATAAAGTCACCACTGAAGTTGTCACGGAATTTCAAAAAGATACCTTAACTTTACAACCGTCTTATTACCCCACCAAACAATTTTGAACAGATATTATTATATCATATTTCGATCAGCCCCAGATTTTAAGAAGCAAGTGTGTTCACACACCAATCATTACATGACACGTGTTAATTTAATTAAAAATGTAAAAAAAAATTCATTCAATTTTTTATTTATTTCTCTCTCTTACTTTTTGACTTATTTTAATTTTGATTTCATCTTAAATTCCACTTCATCTTCTACCCCCACTTTCAAGTGATCCATCCCTCAATTTTCTCTTTTTCTTCACCTCCCACCCTCACCCCACCCCACGTCAAGTTGAACCCCTCTCCCATTTTTTTTTTCTTTTCTTTTTCTTCTTCTTATCAGTGTTCAAGAAAGCGAGTAAGTGATGAAGCGAAGCAATGTGAGCCTTCTATGCTTCACAGACTAGAATGAGTATGTGAGCGCTTCATCGCTTAAAGCATGAAGCGGGGCCTTATCTCTTTTTTCCGCTTCACGCTTCCCTGAACACTACTTCTTATCTAGTCAAATTCTTTATTTCAATGATATTTTTATAAAAAAGAATTCATACTATTTCTAGACTTTATTGATAACAAAACTAATTATTTTCTAAGAAAATTTAAAATTTTGAAGGTATCATCAATTACTCATTTTCATATAACTTCAAAATTAGAATTGATAAATTTTAAAAGAATCAATGAATTTCCCGAAATTTGAAAGAACTTAATTGAAATCGGATAAAAAAAACTATATGATACTTCCTAATCATCTTGAAATCTTTGAAGAAGACTTCTATGTTTTCTACGTTCTCTTCAAATTGTTCAGTCAGAGTTAACCTTCTGTGACATGTGAAGAAGACAATGCCAACAGTAATTAAAGGGTAAGGGTATCACCTTTTTTCCAAGCTTCTTACATCTATAAAGAGGGACAGACATTTCATGCAATGACAGATTCAAATCCACTCATCTGTGTTCCATCCAACAAAATTTGGAACTTCCTTTAAAGTAACAACAAGTGCAAGAATCCGCTTTTCACTAAGTTGAATCTTAAATGCAGAAAAAGATGAAAAGACTATTGAATACACTTGTCAACTTATAGCTTATCCTGGAGGTGATGAATATTTCCCCAGATGATCGAAGCTGAAATTACTGAGCTTTTTATGTATTTTCTCTGTTCAGAGGAAAATCCAAGCCAGATATTCTGATCCGTATTAAAAAAAAGAATAAATAAATAAAAAAACTTATAGCTTATCCTAATGCAAATGAAACCAACTATCAAAATCAATCAACTATACCCCAATCTCAAAAACACTTGGGTCCGCTAATGTCTATAGGATTCATGATACTATTGACTACTTTTATGCTGACCGTTAACCTACTGCAACCTCCTTCCTTTATCAGGATTAGACTGACTATGCAAAGGGCACATAGGTGAAGTTGAAC